CTAGTCGAAAGTGCAACATCATTAAAAACGTTGAAACCAGCTATATCTAAAATATGAAGGAAATCAAACAACTGTTGGCTTGAAAGGATAGTTTAAGCATGGATTTGCCAAGATCAGAAGATTTGTAGATGTTTTAAAATGGCTTTCAGAAATGATTGGATATTGAATATTGGACCCCTATAGCGAAAAAAAAGAAGTCTAGTTCAAATATCATGTCATCAACTTTCAACATTAAAAAATACAGTTTTTTCGAAGGAGGATCAGCTTCTTTCTGCACTATTCCCGGTTTTTCAATCAGCTTCGTGCCCTTGACAAGCATATAAAAAGAGATTTTGTGAAGAAAAATCATTTATCGTTCTCACTTCTCTTTACTAAGTGTTTTCAATTTTCAAGTAATAGATATTCTGAAGTAGTTGTGTTTAGATGAGGTGGCTTCTCGTTGTTTTCTCAGCATTAGCTACTTCCCAGGCATTTTTGTTCCCTGGAAACGGTTGTTCATGGTGAGTCGAGCATATGACATAGAACCAATTTAACATTTTTTAGCATCTATCTGATTCGATAATAACGCTCAAATATTTAGCCCTACACTTCCACCATTGTGCTTACCAGCTCCTCCACCAGTATGTCCACCACCTCCTCTTCCAGTATGTCCACCACCTCCTCCTGCGCCAATATGTCCTCCTCCACCGGCGTGCCCACCACCTCCACCACCACCTCCACCACAAATCATATGTGCACCCCCTCCTCCTCCACCCGTATGTCCTCCTGTCCCAGTATGTCCACCACCACCTCCGCCGCCAGCATGCCCCCCACCACCTCCACCTCCACCAGCATGTGTGCCAGTAGTTAATGCACCGCCAACAGGACCCTACGCCGCACCACCGCTAGCAGTGCCAGTAGCGCCAGCAGTGCCAGTAGCGCCAGCAGTGGGAGGAGGCTATGGTGCTCCAGCTCAGTAAATAACTAATATGAAATCTTGATTATTTTGCTTAAACAAAATATGATGCCATTTATGAATATGTGTTTATTTCAAAGCGATAATAACGTTATAACCTATTTCTGTACATACATATTGGCAGAGCTAACAATCACACAACTAGAATTATACAGTATATCTATAAATGGATAGTTTATAAGCGATATTGAACTTTACATAATCCTTCTTTCTAATTTCGATACTAATTTCAAATTATCTCTATGAGCGGAATAAATAGTTAGAGATCATGTAAAAATTTGACTCGTTCTATCTTTACAAAAATTAAATCACATTATATTTGAACTTAAACACAGTTTGATCTTGACTCAGTTCAGTGTAATTGCCATAAATTCTAGAATACAAAAGGTAAAATTGGATATTGCAAATCAGTCTTTAGTGTCTACGTTCAATTTAATACCAATGATGGTATAAGTGTACCAAAGGGTCAGCGACACACCTCTAGTTTCCTCAAAACATCGTCAAGTATCAGATGATGTTTAACTTAAAATTTAAAATCTTCCATTAACAAAACTGCAACCACAAACTTTCTACCCAAAGAAAGACGTGCATTACCTTGTGTTAAACAATCCAAAGCAGTCAGTAGCTCGCCTGCGTCCAGCTGGTTTAGAAGTGAGTGTAGAGATTTTAAAACGTTTTCATTGTGAATTAGAGCTAAGTTTGTCGTCTACTTGTTTTTCCCCTAATTGCTTGAGAACATCAATAAAATAGACAAAACTCGGAGAAAGCTGATAATAGAGTTGCTTTGCACAAAGCCATGCCCAACCGACGTAAATAGGCAGCTCACACCATAAAATAAACAATCTTACATTATTGAGCAATTGATCAAAAGCAACAAACATTTTTCTGAGTGCGCATCTGATTGATTTCGACAATACAGATTTAATGCACAAAAAACCAGCAAAATTTTGAAATATAATAAATAC